AATAATTAAAAACCAAACGGGATTCGAACCAACGACCTTTCAGAAGTAACGACGGTGTTCTATCCACCACGCCACACAGGATATATAAGAAACAGTACATGACATATGCTAAATAAGCAAACACATGTGTGCACGCCTGTTTTTGAACCAATCAGGAGGCAGGATGAACCAATCAGAACCAATCAGAAGGCGCCTAAATCCTTCCTATGTTATACCGTTTGGGAAAAAAAATTTCGCCGCCCGCCCACACACACACACGCACGTACGCACGCACGCACGCACGCACGCACGCATGCACGCACCCTATAGCGAATCGCACGCTTATCGCGTCGTGTTTGATAAACCAAACCAGAAGAGATGACAATCTTCACTAATGAATTATTAAGTAAAGATGCTCTGCTTCCTCTGACCAGACATTCGCTACAGCCCGACCGCGCATGCGCAGTCAACGCGTGACCGCATGTCTATATTACTTCATAGCGTTGATTCTTTACACGGCTGACACACATACACATACTTTGTCAATAACTGAGTGAGAGCGAGAGAGAGAGAGAGAAATAGGAGAGGGAGAGAGAGAGAGAGAGGAGAGGGAGAGAGAGAGAGAGGAGAGAGGGAGAGAGAAAGAGAAGAGGGAGAGAGAGAGAGAGAAGAGGGAGAGAGAGAAAGAGATCGAGAGAGAGAGAGAGAGAGAGAGAGAGAGCGAGAGAGAGGGGGATAGGAAGATGGGGAGATGGAGAGAGGAGAGAAGAGAGAGAGAGAGATCTAGAGGGAAGGAGAGAGAGAGGGGGAGAGATAGTGCAGAAAGGGAAGGAACACAGTATTAGTCAAAAAACACTCTAAGACTATCACAGAAGCAAATGGCCCCATGGCTGATTGAGCAGTGTTGGCATGGAGAGAACGTAGGGGAACGTATAAGCTGTGGCTAATTCTGAGACTAGACTGCTACTATTACTCTACGGTCACTCCCCAACACAGTCCTGTACGAGGGGCTACTAGTTCTACTCTATAGGCCGCCACTGTGGCCAAATATGATCCATTATTACAGTTCTATCGAGGGCCATATCTATAGTCCAGTGTACGACGCTACTACTGTTCTAGCTTGGATCGCCTCTGTAGCCACCTTACAGTATCATACTACTGCAGTAAACGACACTATAGTTAGACACAGTACGCGACGTTACTACTGTTCTAGCGTGAATCACCGTGTAGCCACCTTACAGTATCGTACTACTGCAGTAAACGACACTATAGTTAGACACAGTACGCAACGTTACTACTGTTCTAGCTTGGATCGCCTCTGTAGCCACCTTACAGTATCGTACTACTGCAGTAAACGACACTATAGTTAGACACAGTACGCAACGTTACTACTGTTCTAGCGTGAATCACCCTGTAGCACACTATAGCATGTTACTAGTCCTGCACTATGCAATACCCTCCTCTGGCCCAGCACGGAATCCTTCTATGACTGTAGGAGAGAGACTATCCCTGTGGCTAAGCATTGGATGCCTCCAGTAAGGGTCCCCTCCTTGCTGCCCCGTACTCCCACCAGTAAGGGTCCCCTCCTTGCTGCCCCGTACTCCCACCAGT